TAATAAACACACCGGAAGCCGAGTCCACAAATTGTCGATGCTTTGCCGCGCAAATCGTATTACCCAGGCGAGGCCACCCCAAGCGAAAAAGAATGGGCCCGGTGTCAGTGGCCGTGGGCAACGTGGGCAACGTGGGCACCGTGGGCTAATAGGCAGCCAGTCGCGAATACTTGGCTCAAATTGAAAGTTATTTAATGCAGGCGGAGAAGGTCGGGCCACTACGGTTCAGGCTGCCGGGTGGCGGCCTATGAGGCTACGGAAATTGTTACGCGATGCTCGGCCAGGCCAAGAAGAAGCCACCAACAGCAGCATCAACAACTGGGACTTGTTTGCTTCGTTTTTATTTTTAACAAATAAGATTCAAAAAGTTTATGCTGTTGGCTGTCAAGCGTTGGCAAATGGGCAGCCGCACGAGGCACGGGGCTCGGGGCATGTGGGGCATGTGATACGCATTCGGATTCAACTGGAGTATGCCGTGCGGGGACACTGAATATTTAACGAACGGCTGCGGAAGAGGAAACCAAATGGCGCAAGTGTTGCTCAGTTTAATCTATTTCCTGCCTCGAACCCAGAGCCAGAGACTGAGAGGAAGACAGAAGAAGACAGAGAGACAGAGACAGAGACAGAGTCTGCCTGGCCAGCTGGCCGATCCGCGCAATCTTTAAATACACAAATTTATCGTTTCATAAAAAGCCAAACTTCACTTAATTCCGTGAGACAACGAAAATTTCTCGGCTCGCCGCAAGTAAATTCATTTTCCCGTAAATATTGTCTACGGCGGAACTTCATTTAAACACCAACTGTTTATAAAATTCAGAGACTGAAAAAAATATATAAATTAAGAAATACATTTTTTTTTTAAATGTAACTTTTTCGGCTGCAAAGTTTTGTTAAATTTAACATTTTTTGTTAAATTTAATTTTAATTAATTTGGTAAGTGAATTTTATTTCACTAATTATTTTTAAATTTCAAAAGTCTTGAATTTAAAATAAACATTATCACATGATAAATTGTAAATAAAATACCTCAAAATAAATAACTCCAAAATAAGTAAATTGTAAATTAATTTTTATATTTCTAAAATAGCACGTAAATATAAATTATAAAAAAATACATATTTATTTATAAGGACATTTTTTAAATATAACGTTGTTTTTAATATATAGTAAATTGACATAGAATCTTAGCA